CATACATAAAAATGAACGGGTCGGGGGGTCGGGCGGATATTTTTTTAGTGCGGGCGGGTAGTTGGTGATTTTTTTTTTATGCGTGTGTGTTGTTATGGACATCAGAAATGTTATATTAATCAGGCACTGGGGTCACCCTTGTTGTAGCTTAAAGCCCTGCCGGCAGTGTGGGCTTCCCTCCAAAAAGGCCACAGTCAGTGGATACACGTCTGCTGCAGTGTTAATGGCGCTGATCTGCAGCGCAGCGTACTATAGCCTATTACTTGATGTGTTAACGGGTCGGGTTGCGAGTTAAATATCAACGGGTCAGGTCGGGTTCGGATTTGAATTGAAGATATCCGCGGGTGACGGGTCGGGTTCGGTAGTCATCCTAACAGGTTCGGGCGGGTGCGGGTTGGTAAAACTCGACCCGTGCAGGACTCTACCACACAGTGGCAATTAGCAAGCCACATGCACATTTACATGAAAAAAGGAAAATATACCAATCACTCACACTAGATTAAGAGGTAAAAAATCTAATCTGGACTGATTTTTTGAATAACCCTGTTTTTTAGGTAATGCTAGAGCGCTCTTTCTATATAGGATTTGCTGCAGTCTGTTTTCAAGTGTGTTATGTGAGGTGACACAACCATCTGAGCAGAATGCCTGTGTGCCTAATTTAAAGATGTTGTTAGACTCTTAATAAAGGAGTAAAAATAAATATGGTAGGTAGAGATTAATGTAAAAATGGAGACATGAGAGGAGCAAGAAAAATACAGGAATGATGGTCAAAGAAGCAGAGATGCAAAGAAAAATCCAGATGAAGCCAGAGGGTGGGGTGAAAAAGAAATAAGCATTCAAGTGGGCAATAGTGATGTGGCATGTGGAACTCAATCTAACACTTGTTCCACAAGGTTAACAATAAGAGCCCTCTAGCAGCTAAAATGCCCAAGTAGCTTTTATTATATCATAATAATCAATCAAAAATAAAAAAAAATGTACTCCAAAAGGCAACCAAGTAAAATAAAACATCTGTGTAGAGGGGCTGAGTGTGCAAGCAGCAACTTAACTTAAAGAGTAATAGGTAATTGTGCAAGAAGGCTATAAAAATGATTCGCTTCACTTATACCTTCTTATGTCATCTGGTTGAAAAATATTTGCCTGCAGGTCAGGGCTCCCCCCGTTAGGGAAAAAGCTTCTTAAAACCCTTGATGATTATATGCTACATTAAATATCTGCCCTCTGCATTCCATTTACCGTTGCTGGGTATTGAGAAAGAAAGGACAGGGTATGAGGGCAAGGAAGCCATTTAACAATATAGTCTCAAATAAGAGAATAAGATTAAGAAAAATATTATGTTATTGTTGGCAATGTCAGTTTACCTGGTTTGTTAGTTCTCCATCAGGGGGCCTAATGGATCATGGTGGTTTGAAAGGTTCCAGGTCTGCTGATGCACACCCGCAATCAATCCTGCATCATCAATGGAGTTAAAAAGGAGCATGCTGCCAGTCCTTCAGTTCCTATAATGGTAACTCCAAGCCCAGTGCGACCCCTATTCTTTTATAATCTCCTTTAAAGAAACCCTTGACTCACCTTATTTTTTCACTCCTTTCAGGTTGTCTTCATATCATATTCTGTATCCCTTGCCACTTTGCTTCTTTGCTTCTTGGCTGTCTCCACGTCTTGCAAAACTCTGGTATTTGCATCTCCAACTTTCTCCACCACAACTTCCTTAATTTTGTCTACTCTCCAGCACACTCTGCGGATACAATTCGCAGGTCTTAGCACAATTCCAGAGGCTCAGGTCTACACCTGGAATGTCAACTTTGCATCAACCTCAGATCCCACGGACTAGTGGCAGAGCCACTGGGTGGCCAGGCAGAAACCAATGTGGACTGAGATGGGATTGCAAACTAATGGGAGCCAAAAACCGGTTCAGGGTCAATCTATATTTATCACACTGTACCAATAGAGAAATAAACACAAAATCTATCTTTTTCAAATAAATCGCTGAAGAGAGAGTAGAATCTTATGAAACTGCTAAATGGATACATGCACATAATGACACATCTATGCTGGCTTCTCTAAATATTCATTGTTCTTTATCTCTAGCATAATTTTGGATCAAAACACAAATATATGAAATGTTAATTTAGTTCAGACCTTCCATGTAAAATCATCACTGCTGCTCTGTCTAGTAGCAGAGATATGTTTTAGAGATAAACAGATTTTTTCTGAAGGAGTTGAATTATGTCCAAACAAGAACATCTCATCCGCTAGGAGTGGCCACCCCTTCACCCTGCCCCTGCCACTTATTCTTTCCTGGCAGACCTCCATCCACTACTCAGTAATCACTCATTTGCAAACTTGTCACTTAATCCAGTTTCATGAACTCATCTCTCCACCTTCGGTGTTTTGGGATCCTGTCCGTCGGGTTCTTTTCTCTCCCAGGATCAGAGATCTACCCTTGCAATAACATTTTTATTGTTAAATAAACCTTAAAACCTTCAACTGAGTTCTGAGTGTTCATGCATTTGGTTTAGATGCTTACCATAAACCATGACAGTTATGAACCCAAATAAAAATCATAATGTTTTTAAACATATGTAGGTAAGTTTTCATATTCATTATCTTCCACTTACCTTGGACTGGGTCCAGGGGCCAGTCTCAGCAGAGATGTCCAGACTTTCCTTTACCCACTTCCTCTCGCTCCTCTAGGAAAGTCTGAGGCATTCCAGGACCAGTAGAGAGACATAGTCCCACCAGTGTGCCTTTGGCCATCCCCTCAACCTTATCCCAGTGGGTAGCCAAGCTCCTCATCCTATCTCTAAGGGAGTTATAGCCACCCTGCAGGGAAAGTTTATTTCAGCTGCTTTTACTTGGGATCTTTCTATGGCCCAGATTCCATGGCCATAGATGTGTATAAGAATGTATACAGACTGAAAATTTGAGAGCCTTGTCTTTCTCTCAGCTCTGTCTTCACCACAACAAACCAGTGCAACGTCCACATCACCACTGGAGCTGCACCGAGCCATCTGTTGACCTCCCCCATGGACTCAGAAGAGCTGATCTTTCCCTCAGCTGCTTTATACTTGGCTACAAACTGGCCCAGCGGTTTTCAAGTCTCGGCAGGAAATGGCCAGCAGAATCAGGTCCTCCCCCAAAATTTAAGAAATCTGCTGTTCCCCAAACCAGACTACAACCATGCCAGAATACAATATGCACCAGAAACGGGTCAGACCTAATCCTGTTCAATTTGTACAGATGCCAGATGGCCCCTCGTGAAGTGCCACTGATTCCATATTCCCTGGAGTGCCCTTCAAAAGGCACCATGAGGGACACTGTTGAACTACTTTTTTAAGTCCTCAAAGCACATGTGGACCCACTAGGAAAACTCCCATTAACCCTCAAGCACCCTTCACAGTGTAGAACTGGTCTAATATTCCATGGACGGGATGGAAACTACAATGCTCCTTCTGAAGCCAATGTTTAACAATTAACCAGAGACTCTACACTCTGGCTGGAGTTGGAACACAAACCCTCCTTTATGTGAAGGGGTAAAACCACTCCGGTCTGCCAGTCCAGGGGCACTGGCATACAATGTTTAAACCACAACAGCCTGACAACATTCAGACACCATATGTACTCAGAGCAGATCTAATCCACTCTCGAAGCCTTGCCACTATGAAGTTTTTAAATAACTTCCGTGACTTTGGCTCTGGATGGTGAACAAGTCTGTCTCTGAGCATTCAGTCCCTGCCTCTACTAGGAAGCCATGACAACCAGTTTGAGGAGATCCTTAAAGTAGTTCTTTAACAGCCTAACAATGTCTTCAGTCATAATCAGCACCTGTTAATTCATACTATATTCACTGTTTGTGAAGCACTCCTTCCACCTCCAGAGGTGCTGGACAGTCACTTTGAAGCCAACTTTCTTCAGGATATCTTTGAACTCATCCCAGGCCAGAGTTTTTGCCTGTGCAACCACCTGGGCAGTGGGTCAGTCGGCATCATAGTTGCCGTTTGCTCCCTCATGGACCCCCAGAAGCCTACCAGGTTTGGTAGGACTCCTTTAGCTTCACAGCAACTATTAGGGGGGTCATATTGACAATAGAGGCATACAACATGGTCCACTCAGACTCCATGACCCCAACCACCCCTGGATTCTGAGAAGAGTGCTCCTAGAGCTGCGAGCTGAATACATGCATATGTACATGACCGAGGGCTCCACCAGACATTCCCAGCAGACCCTCACTACTTTCTCTGGCCTTCCAAATCTGTCCTCTTCAAGCTTATCTAATTCGCCACCACGTGATGAACTGACCCCATTGTTTACTCGAGTGTCCAAGTGTCCATGACATGCAGCTAAATGTCAGTAGATGTGGTTACAAAATCGATTACAGATGTCTTGCCTAGGGTGTTCTGGTGTCAAGTGCAACCCTTATACTTAAACATGATATTCATTGTGGCTAATCCTTGACTTGCATCAAACTACAGTAATAAACTACCACCTTGAGCCTAGGGTCTTCACGATCACTCTCCTTCAGCTATCACTGTCTTTTCTGACATGGGCACTGAAGTCCCCCTGTAGAATGATAGTGTCCCTGAGATGGGTACTAACCAGCACACCAACTTGAAGGCCTGGTACCCTGTGCCACCGCTTGGCTTAAAGCCTGTGACAACAGCTACAGTTCTCTCTCCTACCCAAAGGCACTAGGTGCACTCTGACATGAGATGGCTAAGGTATTATTGGAGTTAGTGATCCAAACTTCCATGAGAAATTGGTTCTGACAGTTTCTTTTTTTTAAGAGTATGCAGACTTTAAACCTGGTTATGTAGAATGCATAGAATGCATAGCGGGTTTGTCACCAATAGGAGCAAAGTACAAGTGAAGTGCGTGAAAGATCTCTATCAAGAGTTTGCCCCAAAACATACTTTTTCTTTACAAAACACATATTTTTTTCTGCTTTGCTCCAGAGGATAAATGGTTTCAGAGAAAAGAAATCTGACACATGAGGCTGATTTTCAAAACTGGAAGCCTGGTTTTAATTGATATTGCTCTACAATAATAATCCTGAAAGGCATAGTTTGGAGTAACACATGTAATGTTTAAACCCATAATAGTTTAAGTTACAGAATCATAGGTCTCTCTTTTTGCAATGAACAATATATACAATGTGAAATAAATACATTTACACAAATGGACATTATTGTTGGAGCACAATCGTATGATACACGTCACAAAAAATATACAGGTTATTGGTCTTCTTTTCCCCCCTTCTATTTATTGATGTGAAACACATCTAAAATCTACAAACATGTTCTCAGTAATAGTAGAAGGTCTTTATCAGGAATTTTTCTCCTCCATTCAAGTGCCTTGCATGCTTGAAAATCAACTATTTTCCCCAAAGTTTCTCTCTCCCTTAAATGTTCTCACTTTTGCTAATTCAGACTGGAAATATGTTGTAGCACAAGTGGCAGTTACATTTCTTGGGATTAAATATATCTAAATGACAAATACTGCAGAGCTATAGATTACAAAATTTTGGTCTTTGTAGATTTTAAGATATCAATAATGAATTGTGATTTGCCAATATGGGTCAATTAGTTTCCCCCTTGCTTAAGGGTAACCCTTCTAAAATATTAAGGTATTGGTGGTTAATTTGTCTAAGCATCCAATTAGAGGAACAAGATGTTTCCCACAGTGCAAACTAGTCAAAATCTTGGTATAACCAGGCCAACAAAAAACCTAGATAGTTCATCTTCCACTGCTCTTTGTGGAAATACCAGTTTTGGTGTTGGTAATTCATGTAGATTACATCTAAATTCAGAAACCTAATAATAAAATACATATCACTGTTTGGCTTTACAATGCAACACAAAAAAATTTGTTACTTTAGAAAAGTTGTCATACATTGTTTTGAGAATAATCCTAACAAGAAAAAAGTGCATAAGGTAAAATATTAAACTCCACAAATTGTGGCTTTCGGTTTGATCAAGTTATCTTAATTTGCCATAATAAGGGTCACCAGTGTAAACCATTTCCAGGTACAAGCACATAGATTCTGTTCAGCCTTTATCACCTATTTAACACCCTTCGGCATGTTGAACAGGTCAGGAGTTCAAAGGGCTGCTTAAGACAATTGACAAATAATAAAAAAAAACAATAGTCAGAAGAGATATCTCCATACTCTGTGTGGAATAATGTACAGTGGACTGCATTTAACACAATTTTCCTGACAAGGGGACAGTGGTCAAGAATATTAAAACTTACAAACAAATCAGGGAAATCAACTTTTGTACCATAGAACTTTAATTACAAGTCTTTTGTCTATGTTTAGCAAATTTCACTGTCTTAAAACAACACATGATATAACAGTGGTAATGGTGTGATTTTAAACATGTGCCTTTGCTGTTTAAATTTGGGCTATACCATGTCTCCACAATGCCATGGATGTCTGGGGAAGTAGTAAGATTTCTTCATTAGGAAAAACAAAATTCTCCAGTTTTTTTTTGTTGGTTTTTGTTACTTTTTTCATCTGAAAGGGCAAAAATAATGACTGAGCTGAGCTTTACATAGGGCAGTTATGTACAGTGTTTGTAAAAAAAAAAAAAGTTTTACCTATTAATTACTCCAATGTCCTTTAATTTCAGCTTAATTTTCCTAAACATATGCAGTATATTCTACAGGAGTGTTACAAAAATTTTTCTTTTTTTTTTTTTTATATTTGTTAATGTGTTTCTTCATTTAGATACATGATATTAAATTATTCGTAGTTTGGTAGAGATGAATGCTGTAATTTGATCCTGGTAACCTAGTTAAAAAGCCTTATGTCATGTTTGTTTCATTATGAGAAACTCCAGTGCCCAGACCCCAAAGGATTGATAGGACAAAAAGACAAACAACATGGCCTCTACTCTGCGCTGTTGTCTAAAGAAGAAGCACACAGCACAAATCACCACAAGATAAATTACACAGCAACGTCTTAAGAAGACTCTCAACACATGAGGAAAGAAAAATTAGAGACAACTTACAAATTAAAACTAAATAAATAAAAGACAGAGCTCTTTTTCTTGACAGGAAAAACAGCAAACATGAAACACAGAAGCTGAACTACATTTTTTTTCCACAGTTTTTCTTCATTTTTTAACAATAAAATGTGTAATGCTAGAATTATTATCTGCATAATTTACAATATACAGCAAGTTTAAGAAGGTTAAGGAAATCCCCCTTACTAAAAATACTGATCATGGATACAGGACATGTTGTTAGAGGTGAGCTACACAAACTGCTGCACTTCTCAGCTGTGAAATGTTGCCATTTTACAGAAGATTACAGTGTCATCTACAATAAATATTTTGGCATTCTTATTTGGCTTTAGAAATTACATACAGTAAAAGCAAAACAAAATAATCCTAAGGAAATGGCAACTGTCTTCCCATTAAAGCTGTGATTAGTTAACCACGCGATATGCATCTTGTTCCCGATCTGAAATAGGATACCTTCTTTTATGAGTTTATAATAAAACCAAACAGTTTTTGCCCTTGCTACTCAAATACTTTCTTCAAGAGAAACAGTGAATTTAGATAAAAAGAAAATATTATATATAGTAAACAAAATGCTGTCGTAAAAATGTATTCCTCATTTTAAACCATCAAAAGCTACAGTATAGCTTAGTTAGATAAAAAAACATCTTAAATCACTATTCTAAAAGGCCTTAACAGTCCAGGTTATACACAAGTTATGAGGCAGATTTAAAGGATGAGCCACAAGCTAATTAGGTTAGCCAGACAGGAGGCACGTCAATGAATATTAGTAAAAACGCATTTGATAAACTCTCCCGATTCCCTTTTGTCTATAGGCCTATTATTTTTAACCATCTATACCTTTCAGTTTATTTGCATTTATACTGAATTTTAGTATAGTAATACACTTTTCTTTACAAGAATGAAGCTAGCTAGCACAGATTTTAATTCAATCCAAGTAAATCTACTTTCCAACGTAAAAAAGGGTCTCAAGGTTTTTATGTCGTCGTATTTGTGACCTTGTTAAGCAGTTTCACTTAATGTTCAAATTCCACAGGTAAATGTATATAAATATCAATAACCATCACGTAACTATGCCTCAATTTAGATTTTAATTGTTACCAAAACAGGATTTAGCAGCAACTTAAAGGATAAAGTTGAAGTTTTATGCAAAACAACTATTTAAGGGATTAATCCTCCCCACCCCACCCCCATGCTGTTAGTCTATGACAGCGAGTGAATAGGATGTGGACATGAATATGACACAATCCAACTGATGTTTCTTTTTTGCTAGCACCAATACTTCAACAAGCAAACTTTAATTTAATGCACTTTCTTGGCTGATTCCAAATAATTTCTACTAATGTTGAAAATTTAGACTGATGTTTTATTTGTTAGTTTCAAAGAAACTTTGTTGCCTAAATCTCGTGACATCTATCCAAAAAGATTCAAAGAATAGTGCATGCACCAACATTAAACTGGTAGAATCGAAAACCAAATCCAGCATCTTGCCCAGGATATCCTGGTTGATCTAGCTTACAAATAACAGTCTGCATCAAATTTAGGGTTGAGTTTCTCCAAACAGCTAATAAGTTATACAGAGATAAAGAGAAGCAGCAATTTTTTAACATATTCTTTCCCAAAGTTCAGACTGGCACAATAAGTTAATACTGTGGGCTCTTTCCAACTACCCAAATCCTTACATTAAAAACCATTATTGCTTAGTGTTTTAAGAGAAAATGATTTGTTTATAGAGTATTACTTGTGATATTTGTTATATATATGTGAATATGTTGAAAGTGGTTAGGCTCATGGAATGAAAAGACATTGACTTATTCAGTTATAAGAAGACAATTTTAAAATAAACCAAAGCTGGTTTATATGTCATATACATGAAGATAATATTTACAACACCTAAATTTGTATCGTTATTATGATTCTTAAGTGAAATTAATGAAAAGAATTTCAAAGCAACAACAGTTGTCTTAAGGTTAGTTAATTAGGCAAACGTTTCCTTCTGATTTTTGTATTTTGTTCATTGACTGAATCTTATGCTACAATTCCTGAGTGAGTCACAAAAATCTGTCTGCACTGCTGCAAGAAAGTAGATAGGAGTTGTGAACACTTTAGGGTGAGGAGAGTTCTGCTGAGGTGAGACTTTGGAGTGTGGAAGGTAATCTTGGGCCAGACCATTTTTAACTGAGAGAGTGAAACTGGTGCAAGCTTTGTATGTGGAGAGCTCAATTCCTGGCTGTTAATCAGGTAAAAATATCTCAAACAAATGTCCAAACATAAGAGGAGTGAATGACACACTATATAACCAAAGAAAAAGTCAACTGTTCAAAATATATTTTAGGAAGACAGCTTTGATTTGCAAAGTTGATCATAACATTTAAGTGTTTAGAATTAAATGTAGTTTTGCAGAACAACACCTGCCCTTTTTAATATAACTTTCAGATTCTTAACAACACAAACACAGCTGAGATTTTTGGTTGACCAGAATCAATCATCTGCACAAAACAGCAGCAACTTTTCAAGTGTTACTGAAAAAATGGAGCTGATTGTTACAATGGTTGTTTCCATCCAAGGTCCCAGCAACAAGTATACATCAGGACCAGGACTGGAATGCACCTAAAACCAGAACAGTGGGGTAATATGACTGTAAAGCTTGCTGGCATCCTCTGAATGGGTGGTTCCATTCTTTGGCAGGGGAAATTTCCTCTTCTCCTCTTTCAGTTCATCCATCCAAATTAATCTGTACATTTGCACTTACAACAAAATCTCAGTAAGTGTTGATTTTTTCCCACTCAGTTGTCCTTGAAATAAAAAAACAACAAAATTTTAAATGAAAAAGGAGTAGGGAACGAAAAAGTAGGTACAGTCAGAGTTTTCCAGAGCTAATATGGAGTGTTTTATTGTCTGTAATATGTCCTCAATTATTTTGGATTCACATTTCAACTCGATACATAAAAGTTCTGTCACAAAACTGATTTCTGTTGGGAATTGTTTGATAGATCTTAATAAGTGCCTGTTCTGACGAGTCTTTCATTGGTTATGGGGTAGGGTTTGAGTACTTCAGTCCCTGTCTCCATCCAAACAGATTCCATTGAATGCTGTTCAGTCATCAACTAGTGCTTTAGCATTCTGGGATATAGGTTTGATTGATTCTGTAGGGGGGGTGTCAGCCAAAATCTTTAAGAATTTTTCTTTGTGTGTGTTTGTATTTCTGCGTATGCAATATAAGAGTATCTGCATGTAAAAGAACAAGAGGTCATTCAAAGTTGTTGATCAAAGTTTAACTTGAAGCTCACATTGGTCAGACTGATGTCTATTTGTCACTCCATCCAGTTCCAGCACTCAGACCTTTGCTTCCAGCAGCTCCAAGAACAGTTTGTGCATTGGGACCTTCCCATCCTGCTTGATACTGTAGAAATGCTGTACAGCCTTTGTTGAGGTCTGACGGAGTAAGGGGAGAGTCATAAGCAATTTGCCAGCCCGGCGGGGATCCTCCTGGTGCTGGGAGGCCTCATAGTCCTGCAGGGCCTCATGAAGAACATCTTGGAGCTTCGTTACTGCATCTACATCCTCAATATGCATGGAGTCTGAACAGAGAGGACACACAACTTCAGAACATATTTCGAAAGAAAACACATTGTCACTTCATAGGAGAATATGCATGCAATGCTTATGGAAATTAAGAACGTTTTTTTTCTTCTTCTTATACATAGATGGTTCAGTACAAAATTATTTCAATTCAGAAAAAGATGCTGTTCTTAAATCCAAGATAGTGTTTTGAAATTACTTAATTTATTAAAACACTATCTAAAGTACCCTGGGCCCATGTAAGAAGCCAATTACCCCTTTGTTTCACCATTGTTTAGAACAGCTACCATTAAATATTTATGCTAAGAAGCATTGCATTGAGTGTTTTACACGGTGTTGTAGAATTTTGACCATTTGACTTTATTCATTTCCACAGGGATTAATACTTGGACCTGTTCCTTTCTAGTGAAACATTTTCCCTCAGAATTTTCTAGAGAGACAAGAATTATTATTATTTTTTTTTATTACAGCTATTTTTCAACTCCTAGAGTTCTAAATATTGCCAGAAACCATAATTTTGCTACCAACCACCATGTTTGATTATAAAAATTATAAACCATATCTAAATTGAGACACATGGTATTATCATTTCACAGAATATGTAGCAAAAGTTGCGTGGTAAAGTAATGTCTCTTGGTAAATGTGAAATGATGAAATTGTATTCTTTTAATGTTTGATGCTCTATGTCTGGAATCTTTTCCATTGACACGATTTATGAACAATTTATGAGCGATTTATGTTTTTTTATGGTTCAATCATCAAAAGAGAATAGATTTTTGTTTTTTGCTTGATGAATAAAAATTGTTTAAAAAGATATTTAAAATATCGGTTAAAATGTGACGAATGACATACAATTCTAAAAAAACAAGCACAGAATAAACCATCAATTGGTCAAATTTCCCACAAAGTTGATGACCTGTTCAGAGGCAAGATACAAGTCTTTGACTGAGCTATGCTTAACTGGGAGTTTGAGTAAATGTAATATAACTTCCTGGTTTCATTGACTTTTACTAAAGAAAAGGAAAAAAAAAATTTGCAAGTGTGTAAATCGTGTAGTAGCCTTTCTTCAGCCAGCTGAACACCAGTGTGCATCAATAGGTGGGGGCTAGGAAAGTCTTCATATGCACGGTTAATTTGTGGAAGTTGCCACTGGAATCAAATTAAAAGCTTCAAACTGTAAAATGGCAGAAAATTTGATTGTCTTAAAAAACAAATCTGCTCTGTCCGATGTGTCATTAAGTGTGTTTACCAGAAAGAAAAGATCGAAATATTTAATCTGAAATCCTGAGATTTTGGATTTAAAAAAAACTAATACATATGAATACTAAACATGGTTTATCTGTTTTAATGTTTGCAGACATATGGCGAAACTGAAGTAGATATATTTGTCTAATAGATTAGTTAACATTGATACATTTATTCAAAAGGCATATTTTTTGTTGCATAGGAACAAATATTAACAGTGACCCTTTTTTAGCTTTAAAAGTAACATTTGTACTTCTTCTTTTTTACTTGTTGTAGTTTTACTACCACATAAATCCAGACATTTTTCTCAATGTCTCTGAAAGGTGCATCTGTGGGTGTGATGAATGGACAGGTGAAAAGATGAGTGGGAAGACAAAGAGGAGAGATTCTTGAAAAAATTGAGATAATAATATCAAACATAGTTTCAGAGTGTGTGTGTGTGCAATATGTAGCCATATGTAGCTACACACACCTGTAGTCTCTCCTTGACTTGGACTGTTTCTGCCGTGTTTCTGCTTGCAGCAGTAAAGCACGAGAATCTCTCTCAGTAATAATACTCCTTATTGCCCCTCAGAGGCCAGGTCCTAATGTGGGCTGGCCTTCAACTCCCAAACTACGATCGATGTCATCGATCAATGATTACATGCATGTTAAATAATAATCACAAGGCAGCTATCAATGACCACCTAGACTGCGCTTTTACCACATGCACCTTCCTTCACATATTACAATGTTTTTCATGTCCATTGGTGCACATACAATAATATAAAGAAAAAAAAAACATTCTAATCTAATTAAAGATTGTTATTCATCAAATTCAAACACCCTCAAAGCTGTCACTTATTCCTAGAGGAGAATAAACTAAAGGAAACTGGTTACATACATTAAAAACCAGGAGACACAAACAAAAATGATAAAGCTGAGACAGACAAAATGAGTCAACATTTACACAAAGATTTACTCATCAACACACACAAACACAATCAGATACCCAATGCTGAATCTATGGAGGGTAATACATTTATCGGTATGCAGGAGGAGAGCAGTCAGCGGGCTGACTTATGAGGAATCAATAGAAAGCTCAGTCTATCATATTTCTGGATTGATATCAGCTGTTGTGTTTCTATGTATTTTAATTCTTAGCAGTTAAATGGATAAATGTATTTACAAAAAAAAGAGTGAGGTAAATTCATGCTCCTCATTTGCTTTTAATATAAAGCTATAAAGAAAATGTTTATTTCTGCTGGATAATTTTAGGGCAACTATAAAGTAAATGTATTTATTAACTTTTCATAGCCTCTGTTGACAAGACAGAAAGGGAAGTGTAATATTGATAGAAGCATTTAGAAAACAAAAAAAAAGATATAAAGTTAAAGTCACTGTCTTTCCATATGTCCAGCTAATGCTGCTCACCAGGGTGGAGTTTTATCAACATTTAATGAGTTTCACATTATTTTATATTAGTGAAGGATTTAAGCTGATAGACATGGCATCTGCCTGTGCCCTGACCTGCTGTACACCCACAGGTAAAACAGTAGACGTTAATGAGCACAAGCACATGTTAAAGTGTACATGCTAACATGGCACTAACACACATATAAATGAGGGAAAACACAAATGAATGAACACATTAAACTACAACACACAGGTGTTTCCTGCTTCTTGTGGCTGGTTCAGCTCTCTTTATATGTTGGGCACGTTTGCTAACATTTCTTAAGGCTTGGCTTCATTAATGCAGACGATTAGCATCCTGTGAATTAATTAGTGTCAATGCCCTTCAAAATGCTAATGCTAGCATTCTGTTGTGCTGGCGTGCAGTTAGTCTGGGTAAAGATACAAAGTTCTTACTGTAAATGGACGGAAGTCATGTCAATTTAAATAACTCCCTGCAGAGTGCAGAGGCCTGTCATCACAATCAGGCTACGGTTCTACTTGACTTTAGCTGCTGATGATTTTCCAGGACTTCTTCAATTTGAATTTGCTATTTCGAATGTTACAACACGGTGATAATCAGATTTTTTGCAAGAGTAAATCACATGATTGAAAAAGGACGACGCTCCAAATCAACACAAGACAGTTTGGTAAAAATTTGTAATGCAGAAACCTAGACCCAATGCCTAAATGAAAAAACCCTGTGCATACAATGCCATTCAAAACCTTTAAAACCTTGAGCTTCATATTAACAATATGAAAAAAAAAAGAAATCAATTATGAACAAATTAGAGCTATGCTTTCCTAAGCTATTGAATACTGCCCTTTGCTCTAATTTCATTATCATGGCCGTTAAAATATCTACCTACTGTTACAACATGCCTGTTTAGATGGAGGGCTTATTAAAGCTAGGCTTACAGTGCCAGGCTTACAGTACCAGGAGGGTAACTTTTTACCAATTTGCATATAGACAAAAATCTATTTTTTTATTTGTTTCTTGATGTAATCTTGTTAATATTATGCAATCTGCTTACATATTTATGTAAATTAATTGTATCTACTTGTCTAGTAAAGTCCCTGTTGATGACATTTGTGACTTAGTGATATATTACGTAATAAGCTGGACTGAAGTTATACACACAATCCTGCAATGATCCTTATCTTCATCACCAACTACCTTTTTGGGAAAAACCCATCAATTTTTTAAAATACATTGATTAATTAATTACAAAGGTTTGTAAACCAAAATAAATACAGAGAGGGCATGGAAACATAAGCACACAAAGTGGTGCAGGTGGAAAAAAAACAACCTCACAGTCTACAGAAAAAAGAAAAACACATCAATATTTTCTGCATAAGAAAACCAGGATCTAGACTCTATATCTAAATTATTTAAAATAACTATTCAAGGCATTCAGTATCAGAGAGATAGATTAGTGACACCATATTTGTGTGTTGATGTTTAATTTGTTTGTGAGCACAGATGATGACAGAAACTAAAAAGGCCCTGCCTCCCCCATTAAAAGCCCCTGCAGTACATTCTTCCATTTAAACACATCGTATTGACAGATTCCCCCTTGTAATTAAAGAGTACTGAAGAGTTGGCCAGCTTCCAAGACAAAGTTCAAAAGACGGGTCATGAGAGGAGGAAGGTGTGTGTGTGTGAGGGAGTGCGTGTTCGTCAGTCAGCTGTCGATGCAGCTGGACACATCAGAGACGGGCCTTTATCGACATATTCGGGAGCCTAATGATTTTACTTTATTTAACAGGCATCTGAAGAGACGACTATGCTAATTATAAAAAGGGATTGCCACATTGTTGGGGGGTTGAATTCAGATTGAACAGGCCTGTGTGTGTTTGCATTGTGCCTCTTGAGTCTATGCATTAAATATGTGTGGGCACACACTTGTGACAGTTGGAGTATGACAAAAAAAATGTGGGCAGCAGTCACAGTTAAAGTGGCAAACCTGAGTACAAAAACAAGCCGCCCCTTACATGTAAGCGAACTTCATCAAACATGCACAGCAGTGTTGTATGTTTGTATGCATGCTATTGAAATCAGGCTCCGGTGTTTCATCCTAAATGAGCCCCACGGGAATAGACTCAATTCCTGGGATTTACTCTCTCTCAGCAGACAGACACAAGTGTGCGGAGAGAGAAAAACAGTTAAGAGAGAGCTTATTCAAACCTGAGTTAGCCAGAGCGATGGCTTTGAGAGTCACAAATTCTTCCTTCTCCAGCTTCATAGACTTATATTTCTTGACCAGCTGAAGAATGGCGTTGTTCAGATCCAGAAGGCCTGCAAGTTTTGACTGGTCTTCATCCATTATGTAGTCCTCAGCATAAACCAGCTGAAAAAGTAGCACGAAACAACAAGATAAATTAGATTTGAATCTGCATATTTTGTGATAAGAACATTTTCTGGGCCTTCCTACTTTGTCTTCAAAGGAGAGGGAGCGGTACACAACACGCAAAATCAATATCTCCATCCATGCACTCTGCAGTAGACTCATCTGGTCTGCCAAAGACAGTGTGGAGAAACCTGGAGAGAAGCGAAACAGGTAAAAAAAAACATTAGGTTGGGTATTTTCTTTTTTTTTTCTTTTTAATTCAGAAAGAGTTATACGTGCCCAATTACCAAATGCAGAGCAGATGCCTATTTAAATGAAGGTATTTTAACATATCATCTATTATTATTATGGAAACAGCTTCATTGATTTAACTATGCATGTGAACATTTTTGCTATCAATTGAATTAAATATGGGCAAAATAATTGAAAATGCAGCCCAGTGGACTTTGTTTGACATAGAGCTAAAGTAGGAGAAGAAAACATACAGAACTCGGGAGAAGATAAGTAAAGTCCCCTGGAGAGGTGTTGAAAACTAAAAAAGGCTCAGACATTTCAAAACAAATGAACAATGTTTTGGCTTTTTGCCATCTTGAATTTGAATAAAATAGATTTTATTATGAAAACATATTGTAAAACTTTTTTTAAAAAGGACAATTTTTAAGGACATTTAATCCTGATCACCAACTATTCATTAGTAATACTGTTATAGGCTTTAATTAGACGCAGAGATTACTTTAGTAATAAAAAGTTAAACTACAGAGTAAAGAAGTTAACTAAAAGACAAGATAAAAGGGTCAAGCTCAAACTCCCTCTTATCCTTTTGTTTCACCCTTCATCCATTTACTTGACCAGAATCCTCTTCCTAGTACTCCTCCACTCTCCTGTCCCTCCGCTCAGGGCTTTTCCCTGGGGATGGTAAGCCTTATCTCAGCCTGCCACAGCCTCAACGGATCAATGCTGCCCATTGCTGCAGCGCTGCTCAAAACACACACTAATTGCTGCTACGGCCTTAAAACTGCTAGTTTCTTTAGTGTTCAATCCATGTCCTTTCATTTGGAGATCGGTCTTTTTCTCCAGAGCCAGTATCTGAATTTGTCTTTCTATGACTGATCATTTGCTTGTCTTTTTCTTGATCCATCTAGGTGCATCTCATGTTTTTAAATGCTTCACATTTCTTTCACTGTTGTGGTTAAAATCACGTTGAATTTTTTTTAAGCATAATTTTAATAATGGGTTTACTTTAGCGTGATGAACTCTTATTTATCGGTCTATCTATTATATTTCTCTTTAATGGAACACCTGCCTACTCACACCTCTTCTCACAGCTGTCCCTTCCTCAAACACCTGTCCATTCACACCGGCCTGTCTGCCTACATGGCTGTGTTTTGGGGAGTGCAAACCTTCACAGAGACTTCAGTGACAGTGCAACCTGTCAAACCTCATTGCAGAGCCACTTCCCCGTGTTTGTTCATTTGTGTGTGTGTTAATGTATGTTTGAATGGAGAACCATGCCAAGAAAACAGGCAGATATGCAGGCAGGTATGACTCCTGAGATGCCTGAGGTAGAGTTTTTGGATGTGTATTAGGGACAGGCATAAGACAATATCTGAGCTGATCTTTGCTAAAATTTATTGGTTTACATATTCAACAAATAATTAAATAAAAAATACACTGCTTTGAAAATGCAAACAATTATGTATGTTGTTTTGGAATTTTTTTTTCTTTTATAAATTTCTGTTTCTTAAACAGACCAAAGCAAAATACTCCCATATTACAAAGTGTAAGGAAATAAGATGCATGCATTCCAAAATCTATTTCACACAAAACTTAAGAAGGAAGATGTGCCTCTGTATCCATCCCGGTTTATGACATTAACCCTTAGCAAATCCAGTGCAACCTCTGGCCTTTAGAAAACATCAAGTTAATACACCTTTGTATAATTTAATGTCAATAGAAATCCAGCTGTTCTGTGAAGGTCTAAGAGGTTTTTTAGGGATCATTATTGAAGAAACAGCATCACAAGGACAAGGGACCTTAACAGTCAGGGCAAAGTTATGTAGAAAATATCAACAGAATTAAGTTATAAAACAACTTCCCAAACTTTAAACATCTTCACGATGCTTAAATGCTCAATTTATCATTTAACAATGTAACAAGTACTACTAGTGAAACAGGGCAATTTCCGAAAACTGACAAAATATATGGTGAAGCAGTAAAGAGGAAGAGTTGCAGAACTGCATAGGTGGGAAATCTGCAGACAACGCCAGTATTAGATGTGCACAAATATGGCCCTACTCTTGAACAAGGGCCGTATTAGTTGTGTACATCACAATTATGGCCCCTGTCAGATAGCAGAAAAGAAACAGTGAGAAGTTAGCTCCTCCATTTTCTTAGCAATTCAGGGGGCAGCAAAGACGTTAAAGATATCACTCTTTAGGTGAGACCAATTATGGTCTGTAAGCAGAACAAACTACATAAGCCACTCCTGCTAGTAAATATTGTGGTGGAAAAATCATGCAGCAGTTTTTCTTTTGTTCTGCAGGAAACCCACTTAGAGACCCCAAAAAGCCTTAAGGCTAGTTTAGGAAAACTACCCTAAACATATTAGTTATTTTCATTGTTGTACAGCACTTCGGGCAACCATCTATACAAAGCAACATGGCACTGAATGGTGATGATAATGATGAATGATAAGGGCTGTCCAGTAATACGGTGGGTAGCCTTGTTGCCTTGCAGCAGGATTCGATTCTGGGTTTGATTCCTGGCCCATGGTCTTTCTGCATAGAGTTTGCATGTTCTCCCTTAGCATGCTTTGGTTTTCTCCGGGTACTCCGGCTTCCTCACACAGCATGACTGTTGGGTTAATTGGCTTTCCTTAAATTGTCTTATGTGTGATTGTGTGTGTGTGTGTATGGTTGTGTGTCTCTCTGTTGCCCTGCAACAGTCTGGCAACTTGTCCGAGATGTACCCCGCCTCTCGCCTATAGACTGCCGGAGATAGGCACCGGATCCACTGCCACCCTGACAAGAACTAGGCAGGAGAAAATGGATGGATGGATGGATGGATGAATGATTATTATTTGTCGTCAAATCATCAGAAAGGGATCACCTGTTTATTATTATCCACTTAAACAGTCACAATGGCAGATATCTTCAAGTGTTTATTTCTTAAATAATTCTGGATTCAAGTACATTTTAGAGTAAATCTGTTCTGACATAAAATCAAGTGACCAGAATATGTAAATTAAGAACTATCGGCAATACGGATCTCCGCCATAGTCTCTGTCTTTTTTAACCTTTCTGTTTGTGCATTCACGATACCCAGAGTCTGGCAGAAGACATTTTCAACATCTCACTGTATGATTTGATAAACATTTTCATACATGTGTGCATAAAGTCATTAAGCAATACCAATCCTAATGCAGAAGGTAACATTTTGTTAAGGGGAAAATTAAAAAGGGATTCCAAACCAACTCCTGACATTTACCCTTTACTGAAAAGCTTTTTACCAAAGTAGTATTGAGGTCACGACCACAAATTGGTGCACAAAGTAAACAAGTATAAGTAAACACAACCATGATAAGAAGAAAAAATGTACACATCATCAAAAATTTTCTGCATGATAAGTGGGTCTGCGAATGCTTTCATTGACGAACACATTCCCGCTAATTACAAATAAAGTGCACTCAGGTATGCACACACACATAGCATGCAAATAAAGACCAATAATTAAAACTCTGTAATTAATTTATTGAGCTGAAGGTGCAGCTTTTCTTTTTGAGGCTCATCAATTATTTTTATCAGAATGACACCTGTCTTGTGTGCGTCCACTCTGTGTGGTTTTGCAAACAAGTCTTGAACGCAGTATGGGATAAACCAAACCAAACTCTCAGGGTATTGGCTTGTTATGTCTTTCTTATATTCTGCTTATATATAGAAAATTCCCATACATGAGGCTTTGCAAGAGCACACCTTTCTGTGTGTATGTGTGCCTCTCCCTCTCCCTGCCTCGCCAGCCTGTCTGCGCCGTTCAGCCATCCAATGCCTCTTATCTGTCTGATTAATAGGCGGCCGGCTTCAGGACAAATTAATTAACAGATAACACCATCTCTCCCTTCTTCTCTTCCACCCTTCCTCCACCCCTTCTCATGAAGCGATCGATACAGCAGAAGAAAAGAAACATCAATGGGAATTTAGTGCTGATGATGGAGAGAGAGGGGTATTGATGGAGGGAGAGAAAGTATAAGAGAGAGAGAGATGGAGGAGAGAGGAGAGCAAAAAGGGAGAAAGGTGGTAGGAGGAGAGCTGATGGTGGAGGTGGGAGGGGTGGAGACCTTTCTTTCATACCTGTGATTTCAATTGACAAGAGAAGGTTCCCTATTTGGCTCTAATTACATTTCCTTTCTGCCCATTGTTGATAAGGCATCTCATACTGAGTAAGGAGGTGTGAGCGGGTTTTAAGAACATGTGCTGCGAGTTGCTTTGAAGTTATGTTGGCTTAGAGGTATATGTGGAGCGAAGCAGCTTTACATATTTGCTCAGAAACTTGAACATCTAGCAGGCAATTATCTATAATCTATATATAAGTTCTATCAGTGAGAATAATTGTACAGTAAAACTTGTTTGTTTTATGCCAATTTTGTAGTTTAGTGAGTGCGTTTGGGGGTTTTTGTGTGTGTGTGACTGTGTGTGCATGTGCCGTACGTAGTCTGACAGAAAGAGGCTACAGTGCAGTCATGCAAACTTAACCTCCGCTTCTTGCTCTTGTGCTCTCTTTCTCTTTTCTTTTCACTTTTCTCCACCAGATAGCCACATCAAAACAAACATGCGCACACACACAAAGAAACACACGTCGATTCCCCAGCCACCCTGCGGCCTGTTTGTCTGCCAAATGAGTCCTGACTGCACGTTTACACCGGAGACCTCACAACCGCCTGCCGCAGACGCACACACACCTACAGGATAGCCCTCTCTCACGCTCCAGTTGCCTCACAGATACACACAAGCACCCATATCTCAGAGCCCTATATTTGTTTTTGTGTGGTTACAGGGCAAATAGGAACCAGTGAGAAGCGATTGAAGCTTATGAGCGCATAAGTGCGATTTAGTGTATGTGTGATCATGCCATGCTTGTGTGTGCGATAGCTGTTGCATCAGCAAAGGCATTTGTGTGAGTATGTAGTGCAATGAGG